GGCCTGTACTTCAATCGACTTCATTTGATGTATAGTGAGACCCAACGCGTCAAATGAACACAGAGGGACGCATGCATACGCACATACATCATTTCGCGACAGAGAGCCGTATAAGTGCTGCTGTGGGGAGTGGGAGCGAGTGCCATGACGAAAAGCGTGACTGACATGCTCATCCCAACGCACAACATAACCACGTGTCGTGAAACCGAGATAAGACTGAGTGGACCAAGGGGAACACAGCAGATAGAGGCCATGCTTCATGTCGTGTACACCAGGCGCAAAAAGAGCACCCAGTCGCTCTCTCAATGCATGGATCTTACGCAGGAAAGGGGTAGGGGTACGTGACACAAGGGCACACATCGCGCGAGACTGGATAGAAAAGAGACGCGTACAGAGAGTCCTAATTGACGAGGGTGTCAGGCGTTACTTGTCTCGCCCAAATCCAACCGAATGGAAGCAGCCAGCCGCACTCATCATTCAATGCACCACTGGCAGTCTTGGTACTCGTCTGTGTGTGGCTGTCTGTATCGGCTGGCCCACCTGTCTGCCTCCTTGTCTGTCCATCCATCCATCCGTCCATGTCCACGTGTGTTCAGTGAGTGGGTGAGTCTACGCCGCCATCTGCTGCTCCTTTTGGTCTTGTGTGACGGTGTCGATTGCCTTGGCCAGCGTCTCGTTGAGCAGCTGCACCGGCTCGCCGTCGTTGACAATGAACTTGGGCTGGCCGCCCTCACTCAGAGATGAGACGCCCTCAACCACAACCTGACACACACAGAAAGACACACAGACACGAATGTGCCTGCCTCTCTCTCTCTGCCTGTGTGTGTGTGTGTGTGTGTGTACTCAGTGTGGTCACTTCTGTCTCAGCTTTTTTTCTCTGGCGGGACGGCCAAGTGGGCGTCGTGGGCGTCTTCCTGCTCGGACTGACGACTCTTCAGCGCATTGTACCTGTCGTCACACACACACTCGTCTGTCTGTCTTTCTTTCTTTCTTTCTTTCTTTCTGTGTGTGTGAGGTGGGACAGAGAGTCAGAGTGCGTGGGATGTGTGGGGTGCGTGGGGTGCTTTCAACCTGTCTATCACTGCACAAATCATGGTTGACTGAAAGCTGACAGGTCCACACCGACAGACGAAAAACGATACGATGTCCGCACTATCAATCAATTCATCCCCCGGTGTGTACAATACTTCCGTGTGGACGTGGCACTCCCAGTGAGTGACCTGTCAGCCATTCCTGCACCCACCACCCTCTCGACGGCACTGCCGCCTGTGTGCAGCAGACAGGCAGCATCACCGTACGGAGGGCGGCAAGTACAGGCATGGCCAACAGGCTCACAGGGAGAGAGATTAGATAGCCCACAGATCCCAAAGCACACACACACACATCATCAACCGCTTAGGAGACACCCGAGGGGAAGCTATACAGAAACACGCCATCGCCGCCATCATCATGACATCATGACTGACGTGCGCACATCCATCCCACACGCTCCAAATTCATCCGACCCACCGTCCCGTCCCCTATACACACCAGCTACCATCTTCACACAAACACAGAGCAACAAAGCTACCGACCAAACACAAAAAAGCCCTCAATACAGATACATACACACATACCCATCTGCCGGCGTCTGCCTGTCTGTCTCTCGGGTGGCCCCCCTCCTCATCTTTCGCTTTCGCGTCGCCGCGCGCAGACAGTCGTCTGCTGGCTGGTGAGCAGCGGAGGGGAGGGAGGGAGGGAGGCCAAACACTTCGACCACACCAGAGGGAGAGAATGAGAGAGAGGCAGGGGCGGGCTACATGCACAGATAGACAAACAGGGGGGCGAGCAGGAGCGCATAGCCAAAATTCGACGTTATGGCGCCGCGAGATGATCCAGCTGCACACAAACACACACACAACACACAGAGGAAGTGATCCATGACGTTCCCACCCACCCACCCATCCCATGGCTCTTAGCTCTCTGCCTGTCTGTGTGTGTGTGTTTGTCTGTGTGCGCGCTTACATGGTGTGTCCGTCGGGTCGCCATCCGTAATCGCCTCTGGCGGCTGCTCGGCATGGCCCTCCCCCTCCCCCCGCCCCTCTCCCTCCCCTTCTTCGACCACTGGCGAGTGCACGCCTGGCTCCTCTGGCTCTCCCTCGGTCGCAATATGCACTTCCTGCGGCCCCAGTGTCACGGCATCTGACCCATTGCCCTCCTCAGCCGACTCGCCATCCCTCACGGACGACACCGAGTAGTCCTCGCAAGGGCCCGTGGGGTCGATGATTGCCAGGGTCTTGAGCTTGCCCGTCTTGTCGCACTGGCGTGCCGTGGTGAGGGCGCACTTGTTGCTGTAGGTCTTGCCGTCAGAGCCGCACACGGGCTTCCACACGGTGGGGCATGCGCGGGGGCAGTCGTCCAGCGACGGTCTGCCGCCAGACGGCGGCCCCTCGGCGCAGTCCGAGATGTCACTGACGCACTCGGCGCTCGCCGGGCACTCTTTGAGGCATTTGCCGTCCTGGTCGTTCCACAGGCCGCCCTTGTCGATGCAGGTGCTGCAGTCCTTGGCGCTGGTGAAGGTCCAGGTGGTGCACTTGGCCTCGCCCAGCTCGTCGTCTTCACAGAACATCTCGGTGCAGTGGGTCAGCTGACCGTCCTGACACCCGCACGTGTTACAACCGTCGTAGAAGGTCATGCAGTCCGCAGGACACGACTCCTGGCTGCTCGCGAGATGCGGCAGCAGCAGCGCCAAAGCCAGAAGGGGGAGGGGAAGGGTGAAAAGGGGTCTGCCGAGCGCCATCACGGCCAGGCCGTCTGGTGGGTGACGCCTGCCGGCTGCTCCGTGCTCACGCCAGTGTCACCGGCTGGCAGAAGGACAGTACTGAGAAGCCTCGCACAGCTGGATCTTCCGGGCAGCGAATGGGACAACAACAGCAAAACAGATAGCTGAACGGAGAGCCGCAGATGCAATGCAGGAGGGCCAGTCCACTTTTCTTCGCACACTCGAATTGCGAGCTTGGCCGTTTTCTCTTCGACGAGCTCGCACCTTTTCCGCCTTTGGATCTCCTTGAGAATGAAGCTCCTCTACCTGCTTGTCTGCCTTATTGCTGCCCTGTCATCGCGAGCGTCATCCGAAAATGCATCAGCCTTCGTCCGATCTTCCACATCTCGCTCCTCCTTGCGCCAGCTGCGCCAACATGTGCCGCAGAGACCGCCGTCCTCACCACTCACAGTGTTGATGCAGAGCAAGCCGGAGCTGTCGAGTCTGCCGCCTCAGGAGCAGGGTCTGGAGATCGTCGAGCGGCAGGTGGGGCGGGTGGCCATGATGGGCTTTGTGGGGGTGGCCATCGTCGAGCTGCTGCTGGGGCAGGCCTTCTTCAAGCTGGTACGCACGCAATGGGACGCAATGCAACCAGATGAATGAATGGCTGAGGTGCCTGTCTGTCTGTTGCTGTGCAGTTCATCCCGACTCTTGGCGAGTGACGTGAGGTGATGTGAGGTGATGCGAGGAGGTGGATGGAAGATGACGGCATGCGAAGCTGCTGGTTGGAGGAGGGAGGGGGGGGGGGGGGGGG